ACAAATATCTCGAATGGGCACAATCCATAAAATTTATGATCGACAGGAGAGGGAAAATTGATTATTTAATTGGAGAAACTTCAAGACCTACTGCTCGCAATCCAAATATGAAAAAATGGCAATTCAAAAATTCTCTCAATATGGTTTGGCTCATCAACTCCATGGAACTTATCATAAGAAAACAACATCTATTCCTTCCAAGTGTTTGAGATGACTGGGAGGCCATTCAAGATTTTTATTCATATTTGAAGAATTCTTCTCAAATTTTTAGTTGAAAACTCAATTTTAAAATTCAAAAAAATGACTATGACTTTACTACGTATTACGAGTTAGTAATATTATGACAGTAAATTAATAAATGTTATGATGATATTTGGAGAATTTGAATGATTATGTTGGCCACAAGAAGAGAAAAAAATGAATAAGTCTACATGTTCTTAGCCAATGTTAATCGGAGTTTAGACTAACTCTGAGGTCACCACATCCTCGGTAGAAAACCTCTTCCCACTATTCAAGAAACTTTTCGTGAAGTTAGAGGTCAAGAATCAAGAAGAAAAGTTAGGTTGTGCAACATTGAATAATTTTGTAACATTGAACAAAAAGAACTCAACTCTTATGTCAAAAAGGGTTGACACTGACAAAGAAAGACGTAAGAAATCATAGCACGAGGATTGCTAGAAATCATGGCCCGCAAAGGAGACATGTTGGAAGCTTCATGGTAAACCTGCAAATTAGAAAACAAAATGCAAAAGTAAGGTTTAGTTTATCAAGCCACCACTGAAGAAACTCAGGAGTCTTCTGCTAACTCGAATACAGAACCGTCCACGAAGAAGCAATTAAAGCACTTGCATAATTGTTTCAATCTAGAAACTTCTCCCCAAATCAATTTTGCTCCTTTGTACAGAAGGATAACCCTTCAGCTATTGTTTCGCTAGGTGTTATTCTTAATTTTTCTCATTCTTGGGGTAAATGATTCATGCGTAACTGATCACATGATTGGTTATTCTAAATTATTTTCTCCTATAGACCTAGTGTAAACAATAAAAAGGTCAAAATTATTGATAGCTCCCTCTCAGTAATTGCCTAGATAGGAACTATCAAACTTTACTCATTGTTAACCCTTCGGGATGTTCTCCGTGTTCCCAATCTATCATGTAATTTGTTATCCACTAGTAAAATTATTATTGACCATCAATGTCAAGCTAACTTATATTCATCTTGTTGTAAGTTTTAAGAATCGCCACGGAGAAGATTAAGAGTGCCAAGGAAGAAGATGAACTCAATTATTTTAACGATGAACTCGACTATAGATATTATCAAATTATTGGTTTAAATTTTGTTATATTTCTAAAGACTAATATTATGTTATGGATTATAGGTTGTCATCCTAATTTTTAGTATTTAAAATACTTATTTCCAAAATTATTTCAGATTAAAAAATTGTCTTTGTTTCAATGTGAAATTTGTCAGTTTGTTAAAAATCAGCATGCTTCTTTTTCTCCACAAACATACAAAACAACTACATCATTTATCATAATCCATAATGATATATGGAGTCCTTATAAAAATATTACAAAGTTTGAGAGAAAATTGTTCGAGTCTCACTGATGACCACACTAAGCTAAGTTGGGTTTATTTAATAAAAGAAAATTTGAAGTAGAAATAATTTTCAAAAACTTACACCATGGTAAAAACATAAGTTCAGAAAAGTATTCAAACATTACAGAGTAATAATAGCCAAGAGTATTTAAAAAATATTTTGGTTCAATTTTTTCTTCAAAAAAGAAATAATTTATCAAAGCTCTTTGAAAAAAAAACAAGTCTTATTGGACGCATTAAGGGCATTGTTATTTACCAATCAGATTCATAAATTTCTTTAGGGAAATGTTATTCTTATTATTACAGTTCTCATGAATAAAACAAAATAAAATTTTAAATTTCGAAACACTTTTTGATGTTTCTCAAAAAAAAAATTCCAAGAAAATAGGCACTCATCTTTTACCGTAAAACATATTTTGGTGTACTACTTTCGTTTAAATTTATAGTCATAATCAATAAAAATTTGAATCCAAACCAAAAAATGTGTTTGTTGGTTAATCTCCTAACCAAAAAGGGTATAAAAATTTTAATACCAATTCTAAAAAAAAATTATTACCATTGATGTCACATTTTTTAATTACAACTTTTTTCACCTCATCTTCGAAGGAGGAAGCAAAACAAAGATTCGACTCCCGAGTTTCAGGACTTTCTTCAAACCAAGCTCACAAAATAATATATCTTCAATCTTAATTGTTTAACCTGAAAACCAAGTGATGATATATTAAAAGAAAGTGGGTTGAGTCTTCCCATAGTGTCATCTCATGATGTTAATAGCAAAGAAGAAATAGAAAATAGAACTATAACTGTGGTATCATTGGATATTATCCACTCGCGACTAAGAACAACTTCAAAAAAAAGGTATATGAATCATTTGCATTGCCAAGAATATGTGAACCCTCCAGGTAATATCCTCACTGACCGTTTATCTCATATTTAGTTCACTTCATCTTCGAGTTCTAAGTTTTCTACTCTTGAACTTGAGCCTAGTTCAAATCATAAATCTAATAAGTCTAGTCTTCCCATTGTTGCTTGTAAAGAGAAAAGGTCTTGCACCCAACATCACTGTCTCATTATGTGTCATATGAAAAACTCTTGCCCACTTTCATGTTTTTGCCTCGCAATTACCTTGTATGGAGATTCTTAATGCTGTGTAGGATGTTCTGAAAGTCCCTGAGTGAAAAGAGGTTGTCTTCAAAGGTATGAAAGCTCTTGAAAAAAAATGGCACGTGGAAATTGATTGAACTAACTAAATGAAAGACAATTGTCTGGTACAAATTAGTATTTACAACTAAGTATGATTCTAATGGCTTTCGGGAAAGGTACAAAGCTCGATTGGTTGTCAAGGGATTCACTTAAATTTATTTAGAAACATTCACTCAGTTGTAAAACCAAACTCTAAAAGAGTTTTTCTTCATTAGCAGCAAATCTTGACTAGCCCTATAACAGTTAGATATAAAAAACGCCTTCTTCGACGGGGACTTGAAGGAAAAAGTATATAAAATTTTACCTCCGAGATTTAATGGGAAGTTCAACACAAAAGTGTGAAAATTAAAAAAATTTGTGTACGGGTTGAAACAATCACCAAATGCGTGGCTCGAGAAGTTTACACTATTTGTTAAATGTCAGGAGTATGGTATAATCAAGGGCAATGAGATAATACAATGTTCTTCAGACATTCAAATGATGGAAAGACAGATATATTGATTATTTATGTTGATGATATTATTCTCATCAGAAATAACACATATAAGAGGAATCATTAGAAGACTTCCCTTTCAACTATTTTTGAAACCAATGACTTACGATCTCTGAGGTATTTCCTTGGAATGGAGGTCACTACATCAAAAAAGAGAATGTTGTTTCCTAACAGAAGCATATTCTTGATCTTATAAAAGAAACTGAGATGAGTGGGTGTAAACCTGTAGATACTCTAATTGATCTCAATAAAAAACTAGATGGGAAAGAAGGTAACCCAGTAAATACAGTTCGACATCAAAAATTGGTGGGCAAGTTGATATATTTATCACATACAGGGCTAGATATTGCCTTTGTGTGAGCTCGGTAAGTAAATTTATGCATTTGCTCAATAAAACACCTTGAAGCAGTCAGCAAAATTGTCAGATATCTAAAAGGTACAGCTGGTAAGGGCTTAATCTTTCAAAAGACCACACAAAAGAGCATAGAAACGTACACTGATAGGCGGGCTAAGTTATTGACAAGTGATCAACTTTTGGATATTGCACCTATGTATGGGGAAACTTGGTCACATGGCGAAGTAAGAAACAAAATGTGATTGCAATGAGTAATGATGATGTAAAATATATGGCTAAAGCTAATGAAGTGCGTGAGATGTTATAGTTGAAAAAATTTTTTGAAGACTTGTAGATCCCGATAAGCATGTCAATGAAGTTATATTGTGATAATAAAGCTGTCAAAAGCATTGAAGAAAATCTCATAATCGCACAAAGCATGTGGAGATAGACAAGCACTTTATAATATAGAAGATTTATTGTAGAGTAAGTTGCATGTCATTTATCCCTACTGACATGTATGCTCCAAAATGAGGGAGTGTTAGAATTTTTGGATTATTTTATTTTTAGTATCTTCTATTTTAATATTTTCTATTTTTAGAATGTAGTAATGTAGGTATGTTATAATTCATGTTTCTTTCTTTTAGCATGGGAAATTAAGGCTGATTTTATGATTTTCATAATGTGGGAATCTTCTCCCTCTATTTATCTTATAATAACTTCCTATAAAATTGAAGATAAATAATTATTTTTCCTTCTCCAAAACTTACAGTAAGCCTATTAACTCTTCCTCTTTCTTGACTCATACTCTTCGTCCTAAGAATTCACTAGTTAAAGAGTAAAACATATTGAGCCCTATAACCTATATTAGATCCAATGTTAGTTAGTGCACAATTTTACATATCAAGTATTGACAGACTTCTCACATCACTCAATATCAAATTATTTTCATAGGAAACCAAGTCATTTTAATTGATTTAAAGCATTAGCAACTATCTGTAAAGTTAAGTCGAATGAGATTGCCTCACTCCCTCAGTTGTTAGTCTAAGCATGATTTAGTAATAGTGCATTCTTTTAAGCTTTGTGAGCCATTAGTGCCTCACCTCGTGGAGGTAAGCACCAATTCATCTTTAATTCCAAAAGCCAAAATCTAAAAATGAACCAATTGGTTTATACAGTATTACGAAGTGAAATTAAACCAATCAAAAAACTTCTTCAGTTTGTTTAACATTTCAATTTTACTTATTTATTGTTCAATCCATTCTTCAAAACCTTAATTGTAAAAGGAGTAGTTATGGGAAGCTACGACAGAATAAATATATTTATACAATTAACAAATGAAACTCTGTACGAAGGTGCATGTAAAAGTACCTTGGAAAAAATGTCATTGTCCATGTTTTTTAAAATGATGCTAATTGGCTCAGAAAGAAGTCCTGCAATGTCATCAACTACACCAAGGTAAGACTTTGCAAAATTACAAGCTGAAAGTTATAAACATTCTAAACAAAAAACACAAATGCACGTTAAGGGAAAAGAAAGAAGCTTTTTTTTTTTGGCACAAAAATGACGCAACATCATTCCAATCAAAAACAATAAAAAACCTGAAAAAAAAAAAAACGGCAAAGAAGGTAAACCAATTAGAGTTTAGAGACAAAAAAAAATAAAAGCTTTATCATGACCATATCATAATAGAAAATTATGAAAGGTTCGTTGATTTCTAATGCAAAAGATTAAGTCGTGTGCATGAAGCCAAAAGAGCAAAAGATGCTCAAAACAAAGTCAAAGAACACTAGTTTGTATTGGTTCAGCTCGTGCATGGATTTTGTGATGTTGGGGTCCAAATCCTCTCAATGCAACCGAAAACCAGTTAAAACCAAGAAGTTAAAACAAGTCATCCAGAAGAGGTATGGAGAACAGAAAATTGTATTTGGCAATCATTACCCATCTAAAACCAAAGTTGGAACAAGAATAAGAATTTTGGGAAAAATCACTATAAACATCAAAGATTAATTTCCATATAATGGATAGGGCAAAGGGAGATAAGTAAAATGGATGGGGCAAAGGGAAATAAGTAAATTTAATTTCCATAAAATGGATAGGGCGAAGGGAGAGAAGTAAATTCTCCATCATGCAGGGCTTTATTAGTGATTCTATTCCAGCAGGCAGAGAGATAAGTAAAACAAAGTATGTTTTCCACTAAATTTGCTTCTCATTAATGCCAAACCAATAGCTTAAAAACTCAATATTCTTGATCCAAGTAAATAGCATAAAACAGACAACAAGTAAGCCACATTAATGTTGCACGCCTCTCAGGCTCTCACAATATTAACATAGCAAGCTAAAAATAATAATAATAATAAATAAACATAGCAAAGTGCAGCGAAATAAACTAGCACATTATATATTCACATATGTACTAAAAATTTACCATAACACATATGAATAGCGCAAATCACTGGCAATATCTTATTTCTTTACTTTTATGTTTATGCTTTCGATCTTTCTGATTTATTAATTTATTTTAAATTTGTTTATCTTTGTTTTTTTAAATCTGCTTTTAAATATATTAGAATTTCAACTCAATAACCCCTCAAATCCACTCACAATTCAGTATATTTCTGAATATTTATTAGAAATTTTCAATAAAAAACATAAATAACAAGAGTAATAGGAGCCTACAGCAACAGCAAAAACATGAGAAATCACTGTGAAGTCTGTTGTAATTAACCAAAAACAGTCATCATCTTTGTACAGAGAAACAACAATCATTATTGTCTAATAAATTATAAGTATTTGGCATCCTAAAGAAACAAATAAGCTAAAAAGATCATCGAAAGGAATTGAGTCTTTCAAACACACAAAAGAAGGTTTTTGATGAAGATCTAGAACCAACTAAAAGCACTCATTTTCCTTATTCCCCTTGTCCTCAACATTACCAAACACTTCCTTGCAAAGATGTTGTGCACTTCCACTTTTAAACAGTAATAATGTATGTTCTTTCCATCCTACTACATGCACACTTCCTCAATTGTACTCGTTGTTATTTATCTAGTGCTTAGTTTTGCTTGACCTAATTCAGTTGATTACTTACAATATTATGTTACTATATTGGTACTTTGAGTTTGTTTATTATTGTTATTTTCATTGCTTAATTCATGAAACTAGCATCATAATGTAATCTACATTATTAGTTACATTCTATGTTCGACATTTTGACCTCTTACAACTATGATAGTTGTATTTGCAAATCTAGTTATTTTCAATGTGTTGATAATCTTATTTTCCAATTTAATTATCTTTCGTGAACTTATATGCATGTTAAAACAATCTTATGTTTTAGTTATACATCTCTGAAAATGTCTTTTTACATTAGAATATCTTATTTTATTGAATTATCAACAAATCAATAATTTATGTTACTTTAAAAATAGTGTGTGCCACAACATTCATTATAACTCCACAAGACCTTTTTGTTCTGGTCTATTATTTGCTAACAACAAATATGATCCAAGGGCATTATCTCAAAGAATTCACCAAGGTATTAACATAAAGCATGCAAATGAAAGAATTCAAGCACTTTAACTGGTGCATCTAAAAAACAAATGCATGGAATTTTTTTGGGCCCACTCAAAGATCTTTCTCTTTATCCTTCAAAATAAGTAGAAAATCTTTCATTGTACCATCTTCCCAGTTCCACTAATAATCAATATAATGCAAAAGAAAATATTGATAGCAATTGCAACAAGTTGTGAAAGATAGACATCAGAAGTAGAAAGTTCTGTACATAGAGCAAGAGAAGTTGATCACCTTGGCTACAAACAACATCTTATATTTAGGTTCTCTTTAGAGAGTATAGATATTGTGTTTTTGCAAAGTGTCACACATGTATATTATTTTTTACCGAGGATTCCACCTGTATAATTAGAGATAAGGGCAAAGCAGTTTAGAAAAGCGCACATTTGTGCATCTGCTTCTAGGTTTTCCAATCCCGAAATTCCTTCTTGTTTTTTTGCATCACTCCTCATTTCCCTTTTTGAAAAGAGAAAAACTACAAGGCCTTGCCAGGTTAAAACAGCTTCCACTATAGTAAATATGATTAACTGTTGGAAGGTGTGGTTAAAATCTGATATTGGATTAAATGTTTAAGGAAAGAGCATTATTGCATGAGTAAAAGTCAAAATCATTCAACAGTGACCACCCAGGAACGGCTTCCTATTTAAAAGCTTTCAGGTTATTTCGGCTATAATTTAAATGTAACACCCAAAATTTGCTAAAGGACAAAATGTTAGAAGTCTTAGAAATTTTACAACCTATTTTTCATACCTCACAAAAATGATCACGAGTATTTTTATAAAATCCTATGTTTACAAAAGCATATATCTGTGTGTGTGTGTTATTAATACATTAGCTTGCATACATTAATTAAGTTTTAAAATCAATTAACCTAAGCTTTATTTTAATATTATTGTATTTGAACTAATACACTCTTCGTCCAGGTGGAATTCCAATTAAATTTGCATACAGTGGTTTAAATGGAAAGTAATGGATACGATTTACTTAGTAAATACGAGGCTTTAAAAAAATCTCATAAATAAATCAAAATCTAAGCTAAACACAAAGAATTTTTAAATTAAATCCCATTTCCACGAACATCAATTGGCAGAAATAGAGAGCTCGGCTGAAGAAAAAGAAGGGAAGAAAAAAGGAAGGGAAGTAGAAAAAGGAAATAGAGTTTTAAGGTGAAAAATCCAGTTTTTCATATTATTCATCAACTCCAAAACTTCAAATCAAGATAATAAACTTTGAGACTTGTGTGATAAGAGCTTCTTTTAAGATAAAAAGTTTATTTCAAAAGATCTTTTGGTTCAAAAATTAAGTTGGGAAGTAAAAAATTTATAAATAGAGAAAGTTACGTTTTATAAATTGTGTACAAACAAATAATATTTGAAATGATTATAACTATGAAATTGATCATATGGCAAATCACCAGAATGGCAAGATACTCAAGTTCTAAATTATGAAGTGAATTTGATTAAGTCTTTCATAAACTTGTATATGTAATTAAATGTCCATGTAAAAAAGGTTTGAACAGTTCTTTATATTGCAAAGTGCTGCATGTAGAAAGTTTCATTATGGAAATATTTGATGAATTCTTGAACATATTATCCATGTAGTGAACAAGACAATATAAAGAGGAATTGCCAAGAATTGTATGGGCTAACCTAAGGCAAGGAGGAGCTCAAAAGATATAATAACCTAAAGTTGGAAAGATTTCCATAAAGAAACCTACATTTAAGGGAAAAAGGAGAATCATTTAGATGTAATATAAGATCAGTGACAGCTTAAGCGTTTACTCTAAAATCCCAAAAAGCAAAGAAATCCTTAAATGTTGTGCTAGGTACAATTAGCATTTTAGATATTATTGCAAGAGTATTTTTTATTCTAGGACATCACATTCTTTCTTGTTTAAGTTAAATCTTTGCTAAATTGTATCAAACATCAGTTCATTTTACCCATGATTTATGTATTAGGCCACCTGATGGTGATAGTAGGTTTGCCAGTATTTTATACTCTTTTGATATTCTAATATCTAGCAGAAAATTCAAATTTGAATTGATTTTGCTACCATTGGCTGAGTTTGGCATGCTTTTGTATATGGATTAGCTTATTAAAAACTAAGTTGCCATCGAATGCTAAAAGAAAATAACCAAACTTGATTTATCAAATGACAAGATGTTCTATTTTGAACATAAAATGAGGGTGATTTTGTAAAAACACATTTAAAAATAAATAGATTGGAACTAGTTAGTGCTCAGTTCCGAGATATAAAGGGGAGATGGACCCCAAACAAAAAATGGAGTGAGAGATGATAAGAGAGAAAGACATAGAAAGTAAGGACATAGAATGGGAGCAAGGGTTGAGACCAAGAAGAGTGCTAGAGGGTTCAGAATTAGAGGACCTGCAAGTAACCAAAAAGGCTCGAGCAGGCAGGCAATACAGAAAGATTAATGATATATGGTAAAAGATGAGTGCCTATGATATACAGAAAGATAAGTGAGCAAGGGCAAGCATATGCAAGGGTGGTAAGGGCATTGAAACGAGCTTGCATTTGGCGATTGTGTAAGGACAGTAATTACTAAAACGTGGAATATATCAAATATTGAATTAGAAATTTTAAAGTACTAGTGATAATCTAGTTGAGAAATAAAATATAAATATTAATTAATCTAACATATATACATCCAAATTAGTAGCATAAAGTATAATATGTATGATATATAAATAAAAAATACATATCTTATAGAAATGTATAAAATTTTAATGATACAATATTAAATCTGATAATTTAAAAATAATAATGGCTTGATAAATAAATTAGATTATTCTAGACATAAAGATAGTTTATATTGTTGAACCAAAAAAAAGATAAATTAAACTAAACAAAAGGGAGTCAAATTAGAGTAAATTAATTGATTGACTTATATGTTAATATAAATATCAATTTAAAGGAGATGGAGTCTAAAAGAGTGAAAAGGAAAAAAAAATGAAATCATCTAAAATTAAGGTAGGTGTTTTTATTTGTAAATTACGGCAATAATTTTCATTTCCTTAATCAGGAGCATCAATTGATATTGATATAGATAATTTGAAATGCATAATATTTGGATAAACCCTTTCAACATTAGTTCATAAGCTCCTACCACTCAATCATTTTAAGACATTGCACGCTGCTCAGCTCAAAACAGCTGAAAGCCACAAATTTATAATCAGTTAAGTGCAACAAAATTTCAGGAAGATAGAAATTTCAGGCAACTGAATCGGAATAACATTTAATGTTTTGAAATATCTCGTAGGCTAGATGTACCAGCGGAAACCTAATGTATTAAGACGCCAGCTATTGGGACCGACAAACCTTTTAACTGGTTTCAATTGTATGCCCTAGTCCTTGCGGCCTGGATGGTGTTTCAAATAACCATGTGTCCAGCTAAGAAGAAAAGGAGGTTATATGAACTAACCGTCTTTAGGATGTTCTATTCTTAACTTTTTCGGGCCTTCACCGGCTATGTTACAAGATTGCATCTTGGCGTAGACACGGTCACCATATGGTCCTGTCACAGGCACGCAATCCCCTTCAATTTCCAGGGCAAATCTAGAAATTATCTTCTCCTGGAAGGGAACTTCGGCCATCAAATGATCACTCTCCGGTGCAATATGAACAGCTTTCCGCTGCGGGGGACAATACTGGAGCCAGCCCTCATCTTGCTCCTCCTCCACTAACTCCAAAGCCCTTCTCTTAATTCCATTTTCCTGTTTCTTACCAATTTCTCCGATATTTTCGGATCCATCGTTCTCTTCCGACCAGACACGCTTCCTATTGCCCTGAATCTCGCGAGGATCTGCATCTGAACGACGAGAAAAAAGCTTGCGTTACATGATCAGTATCGAAAAATTAAGTGGATCCACGGGCGCCGAAATGTGAAATTAACGTGCTCACGAGGCAATGCAGCAGAGGCTATAACACCCTCGTTATCTTCCCCGATCTCTTCATCGTCGAAAGAAAAGCCATCTACCTCTACGCATTCGGCGAGAAAGCTGTTCGTTTCAAGCCACTCGAGCTCCTCGGCGTGGGGGATCAGTTGCTCTTTATCCATCCGGGTATGCACGTTGATGCCCTAACCACAATTTGGTTAGGAGATGAATACATCGACTGAATTTGGCGGGAATAGATAAGAGTCATTTTGTAAATAACAGAACTAAGGGTTTAGGCCCTAAACCCTAAACCCTAAAATAAGTCATTTTGTAAACCCTAAACCCTAAACTTACGTTTACATATATGTTGCTTAGGGCTCGCTTGGGGCAGCTTATAAGTGCGGCACGGCGGCGTTTTCAAAAATACCGCCGCACCATTTGTTTTGAGCATTTGCGCAGCTTATTTTATAATCTTGTTTTCGATTTAGAAAAAAGTTGGTCGCGGATATCGACCCGTAATCAGCGTTTCGAACGCGCGATTGGGGCATATTTTACGTGCACACCCCTCTTGCCCTAAAACCTTATTCGCACTTTAGATCCACTCGTCTCTGCCTCCAGCTTCGCTCTTCCTCGCGCCGAAGTACTGCTCTGCCTCGCGCCGAAGTACCTCTCGCCGCCGACTCTCCGGTCTTCCTCCGCTCCGCTGAAGACCCGCGCTTCCTCCGCCGAAGCTTAGGTATTCCTCCGCCAAATCTCCGCTCTGCCGCCTCCGTCGAGGAAACTTTGCTCCGTTTCAGCTCCGCCAAAGGCAGCTTCCACTCAGACTTTGGTAAGAAATCTCGATCTTACCTCCTCTCATTTATCTCTTCTTCCCTCTTAAATCTTTCCCTGAGAATCTCATCCCCGATTTTTAGGTATGCCTTCACTGATTTCGTTCGGTCTGCTCTTCCTCGTCGGCAAGCTCCTTCTTCGACATTGGCCAAGGTAAAACTTCTTCCTTGCCCATTTATTCCTCTTCTTCGCATTAAGAATTTTTTCATTTGCAAGGAGAGGTAGATGAACGGACATGTGATGAAATATTCATGGTAATGGTGCAGCTTGGATGAACTTTGACTTTATTTGTGCAGCTGCATCATTGTGTTATTGGTAGCAAATATGTTCATGAATCTTTGTTTTGATAGAACTAAGTTAATTCGAGCCTCAATTCTCCCATTTTAGTTTGATATTGGTGCTTGTAGATTTTTACTTCTAATGCATTGGTGTTGAAGGAGCTTCAGCAGCCCATACCTATAAGGGCGTACAACAATTCTCCCATATTTGTTTGATATTGGTGCTTGCAGCTGTTGTTTCCATGATATATTTACATTTTTAACATCTAAACTTAAGTGCTTATATTGGCTTCATAATCTCCAAATTGAAAGAATTTTGGTCGATGCCCTCGCCAGCATGCTGCCATGTTTGTTTTTTTAGCTTCGTATTTTTCTAAGGTTTTTCTTGGAGGGAAAGGGAGAAAGATAAGGATCTGTTTGATTTGTTGTAAAAGGAATGCATTGGATTACTTCTGCTGAAGGTTCTAAATTTTTCCTATAAAATATTTAGGCTTTGAAGAATATGGACTCTTTCATTTCTGATTTTTTTACACAGGTTTTAAATATGACGTTTTGTTTTTTATAATATAATCATCCCCTTACAATAATTTTATCTATGAATGTAAAGCCTCGTAGTGTTGTTAATGCTTGCATTTGAACTATGCATATACATTGAAGTTGTACTGAGAGTCTCCCTTAGAGGAATGTCCGTTAATATCTAGATATTTATGCTTCAGAATTTAATTTGTGACTTATGTTGGAATATAATGTTGGCTTATAAGTTGGAAAATACGAGGGTTTAATGTAAATACATAAGAATTGGGTGGAATGTATGTAAATGCTACCCTTTTTATAATACATATGAATTGATTTGCAGGGATGAAAAGAGTTTCTGACATCCACGCCAAAATTTTTGCTTTTAAATTCACTTCTTATGTATTTACATATTTAACACCTAAGTTTTCATTTTTTTTACTTTTCCATGTGTCATGGCTATTGAGCAGCTTGGATGACCCATGACTTCAAGGGCAACCACCGCTTTAAAGATGAGCAACAGATAGTTTATACTTTATCTTGAGTTAGAATGAATGGGTTCCACAGTCTCTTAAAACCATAAATATTTTTGTGTCATAAATCTGTCCGACTTGACAACATCATGTATGGTTATAATTTCTGTTGGATCTTAATGCCTGTTGTACAATATTGTATGTCATTATTGTCAATTTTTGGACTGATCTATTCTGTTTTGGACTGATCTATTCTGACTGATCTATTCTGATTTTAATAACTGCAGGACGATGAGTTCCAAATATTCAGGGAAGTCCGAGAAAGTGATGTGTCGATGTGGACTACCATCATTGCTACTCACGTCACACCAGACACATAACTTTGGAAGGCAATTTTACAGGTGCCCGAGGTGGGCACAACGACAGGAGGACTGCAGTTTCTTCAGGTGGGCCGACAGAGAGTCTATTTCTATCATATCCCAGAAGGATACCGCAAATCGGAGTTCGTCGATGTCAATATTTCAGAACACTGCATCTGGTTCGAGTGCTTCCATTTCTACGGTATCCCAGTCTGACAGATTTGCTCAGGATTTTATAGTTTCAGAGCCAGGTGGCATGTGTCGTGATATGCTGCTACATTATAAAGTTAACATTATCATATTTTTACTTGTCATTTTAGCATCTTACTTTTTCTTTTTTATGGGCTCTCATTACACCTTGTAGTAGTATGTGCTGGTACGTTGGACTTTTTTATGTGTAACATATTTGTTTGATGTGATCGGATATGTTTTAGTTATATAAATATAAATCAACTTTTTGGTATTTTCTTGTATGAACAATAATCTTTAATTTTGTTGAGAAAAGAACAAATTCTTCTGCACAGATTATTCATTTAATTAAAATTTTTTTTCAAATAAACTGTTTACAAAACGCACTAACCAAACAACTAAACTGCTTATTCAGAACAGTGACAGAATGATCAATTTTCCAGAATCAGCTTTTTTCCATAAGCATTAACCAAACAACCAGACAACTTATCCGGATCAGCTGCTCATCAGCAGATTATCAAGATAAGCTGCTTATCAGCAGAAGCTGAATAAGCTGCAGCTGCCCAAACAGACCCTTAATCTGTTTTTGCAAATCCAATACCTACACACACAAAGAAATATGTTCATACATGTGTATAAACATATATATGCACATATATTTAGGGAATTCCGGAAGAAATTTTTAAAAAAATTTAAGAGTCAGTAAGAAGTCTCAGCCACACCCAACCACAATAACAAAAATATATCTTTGTGTGTATATATGTATATCTATTTTTTATTTTCGCTTCTATATTTACATCTATTGTTAAATGTGAGTAATTATATGTGATTATTTAAGTTGGAATATGTCATATGCACACCGAAGAATAAATATAGTTTGGTGGTGATTGCACATTTAATGATTGGGTTCACCTATATGACCCAATTTTTTGATCGATTATATGTAGCATGTTTATTTACTGTTTGTTAATTTTCTTCGGTCCTTATAGATGATTTTGTTAAGAATTATAATACGAAATAATCTATTCTTATAAGAAGTTATGAGGAATAGTTATGAGGAATAAATTATTATAGGAATAAATTATTTTCTTAGAATAAGGAGATATTTTATTTCCTATTTTATATTTATTTCCTTAGATTGAGAATTATTTTGTTTTTTATTTTATGTTATTTCTTATATCTCCTAATAATTAATATGAATTGATTATTTGAGATATTAGATAATATATCTTTCATTTCATATCATTTTCTTTTTATTATTTTTCCTATTATAAGATTCTTGTAAGAGTTATTTATATTCTCGTTCATATCAATGAAATAATCAAGTGTTCCACTTTATTTCATATTATTCTGAATTTTAACATGGTATCAGAGTCTAATTTCGTACTCTAGCCACCGGTCATTCTTTGAGAATTGTCGCACACCCTTCTTGTCATCCTCTGTGCGGGAAGGGATGGACACACATCTTGATATTTGAAACGATGATTTTTTTCTTCTTCTCCAAATCCTTAAGTCCTTGTTGCCTTATTAGGTTACAGAAGTCATGGAAAGAATCATAAAGATATGCTCCATTAAGTTCGATATCGATGCTGCCTCGGAGTCTGAACCAGAGGCATTATCCCTATTGTCGTCTCCAAGTTTGCCATCGGCGTCAACCTCAGCAACATCTGGGTCTTCAAGCCTCCAGCCAGCAATGGCGGAGGGAGCGATCTTGACATCGGATATGACACCCGATGATCGTCGTCACGGTTCCTCGCCACATCAGCGTTGACCAAAGAAAAATATGTTGAGATTTTCATACATATTTTATACTATTTTTGATGATATTGCACTTTAAAGAAATGTATTTTTGATGTTTTATTGCAGAAATGATAAATTAGGGTCAATTGAGCAAAAAGATGCAAAAAGGAGCAAATTTGGAGCGAAAGGGACCAAAATGTGGAGATTTGAACTAGGGCGCCAACGACGCCATCGATGCCGCCGACGACGAGCTTTTCCTGAGACTACAATCCTGAGGCTACAGGACAAAATTCTCTAGAAGCCCGCTGAAGACGCCATCAAGGCCGCTGACGGTGAGATCGACGGTTAAGTGTACTTGTGCATTGGATAAGGCCGAATTTTGGAGGGGTGCTTAAGCAACTCTTGGGAAAACTCATCCACATCATTAAAGGGAAGATTTTAGCCAAAAATAGGAGAGCCTAAAGGAGGTGGAGAGAGCTCTAGAGTTCCTGAAGGTTAGAAATGTTCCATTAGAGTGTGAAAATTGTGAGGAATTCTTCAAAATTTTGTAAGAGTGGAGGGAAAATGAGATATTTCTTCGTCCTTGCTATTTCGAAGAGGAGTTCTGTGTGCTGTAAAGAAAGGAAGAGATTCAGAGGAAATTCGAGGAGTTTTCTTGGGGAGAAATTATAGATAAGTTTATTTATTAGTTGTAGTTTGAATGACTTTGAATTTATATATGAATTCCGAATTTTGTTGATTTTCCCCATGAGATCTGAGTAGTTTTCTCTGACTTTCTCTTTATCTCGAGATTTGTGAAATGATGATTTGAATTGGTAAAGTGACCGACTTCTTTTTGTAATCGACAAATACAAGAATTTGATAGGGTTT